GCGTGGTCTGGGGCATTTGCACGGGGCATTAACCCCCTTCTATCCCTCCCAGAAATTCGGCGCTGGGTCGTGGCGCTACGTGGAGACGCGGGAGGTGGCGCTGGGCCCCGAGCCGCAGTGGTTGGCCTTCGACGTCACCGACGCGCTGCGCTTCTGGCTCGCGGGCCACGGTGAGCGCTGGGGGCGGCTGGCTTTGGTGGGGGTTAGGCTGGGTGTAACGGCACTGGGGCTGGCTGGTTTGAGGGTGGACTGTGGCTTTGTGTCCCCTCCCCCCCAGTCTGCTCTTGCCTCTGCGCCAGGAGCTCAGAGGTGTGGGTCCCACGCAGGGCCAGGGCACTGGGGGGCTGCACGCCTGGGTCCTGCAACCTCTTACCTCCCCCTCCCCCTTGCAGAGCCTTGGGGTTTCTTCAAGCTGAGCCCCCACTGCTCCTGCGAGGACGACCACAGCGCCGCCGAGATCCTCTTCCAGATCGACGGTGAGTGCCGCTCGGACGCCTGGGTCCTCTCCTCCTGGGGTGGGGGACAGTAGCCCAGATGCCTGGGTTCTCTGCCCAGCCCGCTGCTGCCCTTTGACCCCTGCTCCCCTCCCCCGCAGGGTTCGAGACCTTCCGGGGCGACATGGGCAAGGTGAAGATGCAGGGGCAGCGTCTGCCCTTCCTGCTAGCCACCGCCACCCCCCCGGAGCGCGCGGCCCAGCTGCAGAGCCCACGGCACCGCCGTGCCGCCGCCGACACTGCCTACTGCTTCGGGTGCGCCGGATGCCTAGGCTCTCTCTCTGGGTTGGCTGGGGGTGGTGCTGGGAGCCTGGATGCCTGGGTTCTTTCCTGAGCTCTGAGAAGGGAAGTGGGAGCTGGGGGAGTAGAGCTGGGCAAGGGAAGCCCAGACTCCTGGGTTCTCTGGGAGCAGGAGAGCTAGAGCAGGGGGGGCTGGGAGCCTGGGTTGTCTGGGAGAGGGAGAGCTAGAGTAGGTGGGGCTGGGAGCCCAGACACCTGGGTTCTTTCCCAAGCTCTGAAAAGGGAAGTGGGGGCTAGGGGAGTAGAGCTGGGCAAGGGAAGCCTGAACACATGGCTTCTCTGGGAGTGGAAGAGCTAGAGCGGGGGGGCTGGGAACCCAGACGCCTGGGTCTCATGCCTCCCCCTCCACCCCCCAGGACGGAAGAGAAGAACTGTTGTGTGCGGAAGCTCTACATCGACTTCCGCCAGGACCTGAAGTGGAAGTGGATCCACGAGCCGCGTGGCTACTGGGCCCACCTGTGCACCGGCGCCTGGCCCTACATCTGGAGCGCCGACACGCAGTATAGCAAGGTGCCCTGACGCCCGGTTCCTTCGGGGCTGGGGGAGATGGGCGCCTGGGTTCTCTCCCTGCTCTGGGCTGGGGGTGGCTTGGGTTGTGCAGCCCTGACCCTGACCTTTGACCCCTGCCCCCAGGTGCTGGCACTGTACAACCAGCACAACCCCGGTGCCTCGGCCGCGCCATGCTGTGCCCCCGAGACCCTCGACCCGCTGACCATCGTGTACTATGTGGGCCGCAAAGCCAAGGTGGAGCAGTTGTCCAACATGATCGTCCGCTCCTGCAAGTGCAGCTGATCAGCTGGTGGGCCCCAGAGCTCCACCCCTGCCCGCCTCCC